AGAGTTCAGGCTCAGGAAGGGGTATGACACATTACAATTTACAGACTCCTGTGCTGGTCAATTTGTCTAATTGTGGTTAAGTTTAGAACAACAACAAAAAAAGACATGAAAAGGGACAAATTGTACCTGCAGCCAGTGTCCTGAGGAGAGTTTGTGTCACGCCTGGTTGAGATGACAGCAGCACATTCTCCAGGGCTCCGAGCACAGCAGTGTTCATGCTACAAAGCAGCTCTGGGTTATCCTCAGTCACAGTGTGCAAACAGTGAGCTGGGGAACACACAGAGGAGAGTGTGTTTAAAAGCTGAAACTGGGCACAAAAGCTACAAGCTAGCTTTGTTCTTGGAGTTCCTTGCTGGTGTTAGAACCATATTAATAGCACAGATGTGTTAAGCATCCTGTCAGTACTTGTTAGAGGTGTGTCGCCTAATAAATGAAGATGGTTAGAGAACACCTACAAAATGTACACCTTTATTTAATAAAATCTCAATGTTAAATAGCAAATAAGAATAAATGCTTTAGACATACCAGCAGATATGGCTAGCTCCAGGTTGTGTGGGTGTTTCTCCAGGCACTGAACAACCACATCCAAGAGACCGGATTTGTTAAACACAGACAATGCCTGGCTGCTGCTTTCACTGAAAGACAAACAAATAATACAAAGCATGCCTAGGTCAATAAGAGTGATTTATCAGAGACGATGTCAGAAAACTAAATTCAAGGAATAAACTCACAAATATATGGGGTTTTCTGGATTTCTTTTACTTCTATGTAGTTACTAGACATAGAATACCCTCATGAGCTGATCATTAACCAACAGCAAAGGACAGGTGAATGGATGATGTTTTGGCATGTCCCCAAAGATTTTACAGTCAGACCCATAGCAAGACCTGGCTGATTATGTATGTGGCCAAACTGACCTTTCTGAGCCAATAATAATTTTTTAAAAAGCCTTCTATGAAAACAAATAAGGTCAACTTACCACAGATTCCACAGCAAGTGTACAGCTTCATTGGCTACATCCTCCACTGCATTACTTTGGTCTTTCATCGACACAATGGCACTTTCAAAGCCAGCACAGCACTGGAAAGCAAATGTGTTGCAAATGTGAACAAAACAAGTAAAACAGGTCTCAATTTTCCAATCATTCATCTGAACATATTTAGATCATTTCTGACCCTCAAAAATTTGAGAAACTTTTTATGGCTAATTTAAGTTACACAAAGGCCAACACTGAGCTTGGATTTGATGCCATTTGATTCAGTGTCCACTTATATATAACCACAACTATATTTGCTCTGAGATACAAACTAATTGCTGAGGATATTATAGCTTGATGTTGCTGTAACAGCTGCTGATGGGGAGCAACTGAAGTGATGCGGTGAGCGAAAAGCAGCGATGGAGTCTCACCTCTCTAAGCAGTGCTGTCAAAGGAGTCATGATGTCGTGCTTCACCATGTCCTCACACACCTCCTGACCTCCACATGCACTCAGATTCCTGTCAAGGGAAGACACACACAGACGCACAGTCATCAGTCACTCAGAGGAGACTCGCGGTCAGAGATGCTGTTTGTAATTGTGTGTGTGTGTGGGAGAGGAAAGCAGAGGGGTGGGGGGGAGCCGGGAGATCCACTGTGAGCAATGGTTTTGTTTTGATTTCGAGGAGACAAAATCCTATTTAGTGTTTACTGAAAGGCCTCAAATCAGACTAGAGGTTAATATCAATATGACACACAGTACTGTACTCATCATGCACAGCATGGTATTACGCACAATGTACAATACTGTGCAAAAGTCTTTTCTTTTTTTGCCAATCAGTGCCTTATCAGATGGTGTTGCAAAGGGATACAATACTTTTCTGCATTTGTAATTTCACAGCCAGGACCATATTTTACAGATGGCTGTAGACACTCACTGCTGTACCTCCCTCCCTGTACATATTGACAATTTGAAACAAAAACATTCAAATTTATATATCCATCTATATCTATTAGACCTGTTGCCACTTATTTTCATTCCAGTTCTTGTGTGATTTGGCATGTCTTAGCCTTTTCTCCCTTAAGAATGTCTTCTTGCCAGCCAAACCTAAACTGAGACCATTTCTTATGAGACCTTAGTGAACAGGAAATTGATTAACTAAAAGGCCAGATGTACTTCTCACATCTGTACTGGATTTGTTTTATTTCTTAAGGACATCACTTTCTGATACCGTTTCATTTGCTGTAAGCCTTACACTTCTTCTGTCATCCTCACACTTCTTTTTAAATAGCTATTTGGGAATGAACTTGTTGGTGCAAAAACACTATTTTAAAAAAAGCCTGGAAAACTATTGATCAAGCCCACTTTAAACAAAATGGCAAGCAAGGCTGTCACCTTGTAAGAAAAATTTAAAGAAATAAGGGGTGGCTCAAGACTTTTGCACTGGATAAGTACTAGAAACATTCTGTGAGGTTTAATGCAGTCGTCTCACAGCAGAAAGGTCCTTGGTTCTTCTGCCCAACTGTGAAGATTTCTGTGTGAAGTTTGGATGTTCTCCTTGTGTCTGTGTGGCTTCTCTCTGGATAATCCAGTTTCTTTCCACAGTCCCAAGACATCCACAGTAGGTTAACTTGTGATTTCTAAACTGGTTGTCTGTCTGTCTGTGTTAGCCCTATTAGACTGCTGACATGTTCAGGCTACATCTCAGCTTTCACCCCATAACACCTGGGATAGGCTCCAGTCCACTCATGACTCTGAGGTGGATAAGCAGTTAAGAAAAGGGATGCGTAGATGGGTTTAGGCAAAGCAGCTCCCTGGATAGTGTGTAGAAGTCAACAAATGCCACCCACTCAGAGGTAAACGCACTGGACTATGAGCTGTGCTATTTGTATTCTTATATGCACCTCTCTCTGTGAAGCCCGAGAAAAGTTCAGTTCTGTAACACCACACTGACTGAAGTGATTGGAAGAAAAGAGCCACGATTACATTTTCTAATGTTTTCCAGGGCTTTTGCAGACACATTTCTTAGCTTTCTGCATTTTCTGTTGCAGTATCAACAGTGCTCACTAAAAACTAGCACACAATACATGTATTATGCATATAAGCAAAAAGCACGTGTAGCTGTATGTGTAACTAAAATATATATAAGGGAGCCAAATGAAACGGCACAATGTGACTCATTTTATTTATTTATTTATTATCCAATAACACACTTTTAAAAACTGCAGAAGCATGTGACTGACAACTGACTTCCCTCTACCTGCACCTGACTTTCTTCACAGCAGGAAAAGCACTAACATTACTAATGTCAAGTAGTAATCTGGGGCACACAAATGGGAGAGAAATTAAGGCATGTGGTCAAGCAATAAACGTCCTCACTTGCTGTAATCGAGAGAAGAAAATATTAAAAGCATTGTCTTGCTAGCATAAACAGCCTCTTCTTGATGATTCTCACTCCATCGCAAAGTATCTACATACAACTACACTGTTAACCAAAGGAGGTTTAAACAGCCAGAATGATAATGTGAGGGTCTCACACCTGCCACTGAAACAACTCTGGCAACAACCCATGCCAGGAACTGGCTCTTTGAGGTTTTCAGCAAGTTTCATTAGCTCTTCTGTTAGCAACAATTTGCTGCCCATGGAGCCTTGGGCACCCACAACTCATCATCTGTTTGCCAGTTGTGGGCCCTTTAATTTGTCACATCATCCATAACCATGGGCTGAGCTTCCACTGCTATGCTGATGATACACAGTTATCATCAGGATAACAGTCACTTCCCTCCTCTGTGCCTTGTAAACTGCCTAAAAGACATCAGAATTTGAATGTCAGCAAACTTTTTCAAATTGAACAACAATAAAAATGAACTCTTGGTTGTGGTTCCCAATTCAAAGCTCGAGAAGAGGGAGGTCTCTGGAGGTCAACAACATCAAATCTGCCTCTAAGTCTGCCTTCCAGCACTTCAAGAACACATGTCCATACTAAAACCTTTATTCTCAAACTCTGCAGCTGGCACCCTCCCTCATGCCTCATCACCTCCTACTTTAACTACGCCAATGATGTTCTGTTTTGGTCGACCATCCCTATCCTTATACCTCCACCAGAGACTGCCACTTCTCTTGTGCCCTTGCTCATACAAATCACTGCAAACTGACAACACAGAAAAGTTCAAATATGTTTTATGATGACCCCAGCACTAAAATGGCCTATTCTAGCAAAAAAAAATAGGTCACACGTGTTGATTACTTGTTAGATGACCCCAGTGATCCAGGTCTTCGTCAAGTGACAGGAACCCAGATTATTTGTTACACCCAGACTCACCTGAGAGCTCCAGTGGCAGTCTCTCTGACAGCCAGGCTCTGGTCCAGCAACATGGGACCCAGGCGCCTAACAGCATCCCTCTGGAGGAAACCCGGAATGGTCTGACTCTGCTGCACCACCCGAGAAATACTGGCACATGCAAACTCTCGCACATCAGCGCTGGGACTCTGCAACTATAGGAAACGTGTTTAAAAGCACGTGACACCAGCTATTCAAAATGTTAGAAACTGCAAAAATATGAGCTCTTAAACTCAAAGTTAGAAACATTCGAAGAAGAAGCAGTGTATATTCCTACTTTCTCAAGCAACTCCGCAGCTGGACAGCTATCATCACCATGCTCTTCCTCCTCACCGTCTCCTTCCTTCACCACAGTCACCGGCAGCCCGACCGAGTTGAACTGCGGACGTTTAAACTTAGTGGTTTTACTTTTACCCATTTCACGTGATTATTAAAGTGCGAGTTGCGCGTATAACGCGGCGTTTACTCCCCTCTTCTTTTCTCTGACACTGAGTTTGTTGCGGATCAAACACACGCTCCGGCTTCTGCCTTGTTGGAGGCCATGTGGAAGACTGTTCCCTGCCGTAAAGTGTTGGTTGCTAAGAGAAAGCACGACGCTGTCGCAAAAGCGCACAAGCTACGCATGTGACAAGCTCCATAGGAAGAATAGAAGGCAACAAGAAATAAAGAGACAGCCCTGATATTCCCACGTCTTATGAATTTATTTATTAGGCAAATAACCTTTAAAATAGAAACATTTTAGATAAAATACATGCTGAACAGAAACAGAAATATACCCTCACTCTGAATGTGTAAAATATGTCAAAGGTTATACATGAGTAAATCAGCAGCTTCAATGATGACGACACAGCAACACTGTTTAAAAAAAAAAAAGAAAAAAAAGAAGGGCCTCTCAGTTCGTTTCTTTGCTGAAAATGCATTTCCCATCATACTTCATCTAAGAGCATCCAAAGGAATTAAAGACAAGAAGGCAATCAACAAAGATGAGGCCTGACAGAACCCAGGAGCGTGTGGTCACTGGATGTTTGGTCGTGGTTTCAGAATAAGTTTCCCCGTCTGCGAAAAGACAAGAAAAAATTAAAAATAAAATAAAACCTTAAATTTTAGTAAAATGGTAAAAAAATAAAAATCACCATGTTGACTCACATCATCACAGGACATGTTGTATTCTGCTAAAACTGTGCGGCAGCGAGCAGCAATACTGCAGGGGTAACGGTTAAAGACAATAACCAGGAATGGAAATAGGAATAAATCCACTATGTGATGTTCCTCAACCTGACAAAAATCAGCTTTGGACATCTGCTGATACCATGTACAAAAACGGAAACTATTGAGAAATCAATAAACTAAATTCTTTACTGAGACAAAGACGATGGGATTCCAGTCAAACAGGCTGTTTAGGAAGGTGAATGAAGTGACCTAGAGGTATCTGCATGGAACCCAAAAGAGCTGGTCAAATTCTCTAAATACTAAAGAAAGACGCTTCAGTGCTTTAATAACCTCCTACAACAAAATGTACACCAAACCACCCTTTATGAAACCAAAGTCCATTCACATCAAATAAAGTAATTAACATAGCTGACAAGTGCAGTGCAAATCCTGATTAACAGTGGATTTTCTATTCCATGACATAATCTCCTGATATGGTTTTGAGCCTTCAACAACAGGCTGTTAAACCCACATGTGGACTCTGACCACTACACTGCTTCTTATCAAGCTGTTGTCTTGTTTGAGGCCTGTTTACTTATAGTAGGAAAGAAAGCTTTATAAATATAGACTATGGGCAGAACTAAGGCAGGAACTAGACTGAATCATCTCTCCAGTGGGAAGAGAAAATAGGAGTTGACAGGATGGCCAATGTGGCAAACATTTCAAGTTATTTCATTTAATAAGATACTTATTTAAAACTAAAAGTAAGATTTTTCCCTCCAGACGTTCTTTTTTTTATATGTCCTGCACAAAACATAAGATACAAAAGTATCTAAGACAAGCTTCTGTTGTCCATCTTAGTTTCACCATGGCAGACCCATGTCGACAGCATCCACCATGACACTGTTCAGCTGTCTGATATGAGTATAATCAGATTGTCTGAGGACCCATGATCTTATCACAAAGGTCAAGATGAAGAGATTAGGAAAAACCACAGCCTGGGAATTATTTTATCTGCAAGGCAACATCAGGCTAGATGTAAACTGTAAGAAGTCAGTTTAATTTTCTCCACAGTAGCCACCAGTACACTACTGCAGATGTGTGTGGTACAGTAAACATAGGAACTTAACTGAATTAAATTGATGGGCAACTGTCACAGATACCTGATCCAAGTACATGAGTCGCTAATTTGTGTTTACTGAAGTAGAAAAAAACAAGGATACATTGATGGCGCCACAACTCGTTTGTGTATTCCAGCGAAGAAGAGAGCTATTAGAGTGATGCAGCTGATGGTGAAGAAGGGATGATTCCATAGGGATGAAAAGAAAGATACCTGCATGACAAAAGGAAACAAAGCAACATCAATCTGGGTGAGAAAATATTTACTTTTACAGATGATTTTTTTAGGATGTGATGACAACATCTAGCACCAGTGCTTGTGTCTGCTATTTTATGACATAGAAATTAATTAATTAATACCAAATTATTATTAATTAAAAGTGACACTTCTGGGTGGATGAAAAATGTATTTCTTTTTAAATGTAACTTTCAATTTTGAAATTTTTATGTTGCCACTGGCTTTACTTATGAAGTTATGGAGGCTCAGAAATGCATGAAAGACAAATGAAGAAAGACAAGATTTCAGCATGCCCATATGCACTTCAAGGACCTTTAACTTGGAGATTTAGAAAAGAATGAAGGTAAAATTTTGAATGACTTCATTAATCCTGTCAAAGACACTGTAAGATATAAATAAATACAAAAATCTGGAAACCATCTTCAAATCTGGCTGGTCTTCTATAGAATGAGGAATGAAAATTTTTCAGAAAGATGGAGACCTCAAACCATGAACACATCCAGGGAGACAAGCTAAACGTTTGAGATATGCTACAGCTGATGGAGATATTCAGACAGGCAGAGATAGAAAAGAGGCTTAAGGGACAGAAAAACTTCTTATAAGACTAGCCTAAAATTTGACAATGTGGTCAGTTATAGTTAAAACGCATGTGCAGACACTATACCTTGATTAGAACTCACCTAAACTGTACTAATACATGAACAATTATCTATTAATGCATGAGGCTGCTTTTATTGGATCAAAAGTTACCTAATGATACCACTTATCCCTGTTGGCCATACTGTTCAATACAAGGGATATATATATACCTCTGATTTCTCTTCGAGTCAGACTTTCTCGACAAATACTTACTTTCTGTGTGTCTGGGTCTATTAACCAGTTCCAAGCTCCAGTAGCTGTACAGACAGACACCACTATCAGTATCACTGAAAGAAAACATAAGAACAAGATATTTAAATCAACTCACCGTAGAGCTTTAGCTAATAGTTGCAGTTTGAGATCAACATGAACTTCTTTCAGGTTAATTGCAATATCAAAAAGATGTCAACCATTGTAACTTCTCTGCTGTTGTCACTTACTTCTCCACCTGCCTGTGGCAGGTTGCAAACAGGAGACATACTCTGTCAGTCTTCTCTCAAAGGCCTTCAGGTCTGCAACAAAACAACAGGACCATGAGCAGACGCTGTGTTTGGACCAAGGATTACGCAGGTATCCCCAGAAAAGCTTTTTTTAGTCTCTTCCCCAAAAGAATGTCATGATATTCAATCTTAAAATAAAGCCAGCCTTAGCCCTATAGCTCAGTTGGTGTCATCACTCAAAGTTGTAAACTGAAGACAGAAACCCACCATTACTTAAAATGAAGCTTTTAAATGCCCTGTAGGTTTGCTACACTTTCACTTCCAAGCTGATCATATTCCCTACATATGTAAAAATTAAAAAAAAGTTGCTGGCTATGACTCTACGATCCCAGTTACAAAAGCGGGGGGATTTAACAATTAAACATGTGTTTGCGTGTAAATAATTAAGGGTATCAGTGGCTGAATGTTTTGTCAGTTAGGCTAACGAGCATGCTAAGAAAACTAGCCGGCTAACGCATTATTACGCCAAAATTTCACAATCCATCTTAAGACGTTTGCTCAGTAAACATTCCGTGGCTTTGGCTGCAACGACTATACCCGCTGAAACTTTACATTTGATTAATTTGAGTCGCTTTTACTGTTGATTACCTTCGGCCTGTTCCAAGGAGTTCATGTCTGAACCACTGTCTATGGTCTGAGAAGCAGCTACAACACCCTTCCCCTCAGCTGTAGGACAGGCCTGCTGACCAATCCTGATCGAGTGTGTGCGCAGCTAATATGATTGGGTGTGACCCAAATAAGGGGCGGTGCCAACGTTGAAGTCCCGCCTGCTGCAGGCAAACTGCATGGACGGCAGGTTTCGCTTATGTAACAGTCAAGAAAACCTGGTTTCTATGTTCCAGAAAGCGCTCTTACGAATGGAAAGTAGTTTGATATGATTACATAAAAACTACATGGGAGAAAATGCAAGCATCTAATAGTTTGAAATCTTTGAGCAGACAGATTTGAGATAGTCCAATGATTGTTTGAATCCATCCACCCGCACATAGTTCAGGATCACAGAGATGGCATTGTTCTGGAATCCTATTCTAGCCATCACAATGGGAGAAGCAGGGGTACACCTTGGACTGGTCACCTTTCTGTAAGAGGGACAATGCAGACTTCAATTGATTTTATTTAGTTAAGACTAGAAATCAATTGAGTGATATTTGGAAAATGAAAATATGTTCATCTTGACCTTGATCTGTTTATACGTTTTACCGTTCTAAAAGCCTTAAAAACAAAAATAAAATAATAATAATCAAATACTAGACAATTCACTGATATGTTTTCTTCCATCTCTGAACTTGCAGAACTGTATGGAGGGGAAGATAGAAGGAAAAAAAAAACAAAACCAGACTGAAATGATGCCTTGACTTTTTTATTTTATTTTTAAATTTTTTTTATTTCCATGCGAGTGTATCATTTATAGTCATACAAAACACATTCAACACCACTGATAATCTTTCAAATAAACAGAAAGCCAGGGAGCTTCATTCATGCCAGTGTTCCCAAGCAGGATGTATAAGGAGTAATTTTCTAAAATTCAAGGACTACTCTTCTGTTTACAGCCTGCATTTTGTTCTGCAGCTTCACTTTGAACTTCTCCATCAGCACAGCCTCTAGTTCATCTTCTGTTATGTTTTTCATGTTATAGAGATCAACACCTTCATCTGGCTTAAATATGACCTCACTGTAGATCAAGCCAACCAGCGCTGTGAATCCTGTGGGCGTCTGCAAAGAGCAGATGGACTTGTTGGTGAACAGTGAGGTGGGGTCTGTCTGGAGGTCATTGTTCACTTGAAAGAAATGATCTGGCTCACGAGGCTCCAAGCTGAAGCAGTGGATCAGTCGCGTCTCCTTCCGGTTGACCAGACTTGATTTAGCAAATTCTGGGTTAGGAACCTCCGTTCTTCTGCCAGTCTTCTCCAGCATCCACAAATTGTCCTTGCATATGAAGCGAAAGACGCCTCCATCCTGAGGCTGTTCCTTTCCAGAGATGAGCTCGAGGGGCTCCCGTATTTGGCCAGATAATCCAAAACTTACATCTGCTATATAAGCCTTCCCCTCAATGATGACCTTGTTAATGAGATGTACTTCCTGGGATTCAAAGTCATTAATGCTCGTGTCGAAAACTCTGGAGCCCAAGGTTGTAGTGTCATAGCCCATTTGTCTCAGCACCCAGCTAAACAGGTAGTTGTTCTCAAAGCACCAACCTCCACGGGTACCCCTCACAACCTTATTGAAGATAACCTCAAGGTCCATGATTATTTTCTCTCCACAGTGGATGCTGAGGTTCTCAAATGGAATGGACATAATGTGCTGCCTGTGGATCAGCTTCAGTGTTGCAAGGTCCAGTTTATCATAGGAGCCATGGAAACCAATTCTTTTGAAGTACTCTTCCAAATTCATCTTGCCTGTAAAATGCAGGACAACACATTGATAATCATTTTAGGTCTGCAGCATGTCACTTACAAAGCTTTTTAAAAAAGAAAAAAAAAAGAAAACCCCTACACCTTTCATTTTGTGTCACATCCTGTCAATTTATAGGATGCAGCCAAATGTCCAACTCTAGGTCTAGCCTGGCAGGCTCTTTGCTTCCTTACAATCTAAGAATCAATGATTCAATTCAAGATGCCTAATCTTAATTAACATTTCATGTAAGATTATCTCATTAAATTTATAACAATTAAATTTCATTCCAGTTTTCTGTTCATGTAAAGACAATGGAAATGCAAGATGGTGGAAGCATTAGTGTTTTAATAGGGCAGGTTATCCTACCCCTCATTTAACCCTTTCAACAGCTGCTTACCAATACTAGTCTTTGGGCTGTGCTCCCCCAGAAATGTTGAATACAATTAAAATGATCTGAACATTTTGCACAAACATGTTTAAATATCATTAAATATCATTCTAATGACAAATGTTGACTATAACTAAATTAATCTGAAATTTTTTATCCTTACCTTATTTGATTGGTGTTTGATCAAGGATGTGTTTTGATGAGTCTGGAAGCAAAAACAGGATAAAGGTAAGTGAGCTACTTTATACTACAAAAGGAATGTATATAGCCAGTCTCATTCAATAATATGCATCGATCATGATGGTGATAGGGGTGGCGCATCCCAATTGCTTAGCTGACAGAAGCAATACACAAAACAAATAATGAATGTGTTCATGAATGTGGCTCAGAGTTTCTGCTCCAATGAGTGATGAAAGCCTTTTCCCACAAAACAAACCATATCCTCTTTATTCCTTCTAATGAGCTAGGCTTATCCAGCTCAAGGGAGAGGTATAGTGAGCATCTGCAGCCATCTGTAAAACCCAGTGGACACACATGATTTTGGGCTGCATTTAAATCAGTGTTGGGGACCTTGCCAAAACTGGTACCATCAGAGTTTGATCCACAACACAATATCATCTGGAAGCCTGATTGGCAAATGTTTCCTTTTTTCAGCATGATAATGATCCCAAACACCCTAGCATTGTAGTCAAGGCATACCTGGATAGAGAGAGGGGGGACAAAATAAAACAAAACAAAAAAAACCACACACCACTTCACAATTGGGCACCACCAGTCATGGATTGGAGCCCTGAAGCTTTGAATCTTCTTCAGAAAGCCTGGGAAAACTATTCCTGAAGGCTCAATTATAAGAAAGCTTGCCTAAGAGTTCAAGCTGTGTTAAAGAATGAAGGGGGTCCACGTCAAATGTTGGCTTTCAACATATTTAAAGCTTTTTTCTTTTTAAACACACAAAGCACCTATAAGCTAAAACGAAGATAACACTCCCAGCAAATACCTGTTTGAATAAATAAGAGGACAACTGGTAAAAGCTTCCTATAAGACATAAAAGTCCTTAACAGGTCTGTAGGTTCTCCTACACTGTTTTGTCTTTGGTGGAAAAAATAAATAAATAAAGATAAAATAAAAGGACCCTGAAAGCCATCCTCTTAGTTTCTGTCAAGTCTTTTGAGTAACTGCAGACAGCATCATGGCGCCATGTCTCCGAGTTTGACACAGGGATGACAGTTTTCTTTTTTTGATGGCAGGTGAATTTGAACACTTGGCTGTGTGGTGGACCTCCGGTAGAACACGGCCAACACTAGTGTGTTGGAAACCCAGGTCTCTTTCATAAATGCAGTCACATTAGCGCAAATCCTAAACCTTAGCTGTGACATTTTGCGCAGGAGTATTTGGAGGGAAGGTTACTTGCAATAACTCCGTTTCAAGGTAAGACCATCAGGAGTAATTACTTGGCCTTGTGTTTCCCGCCGTCAAAATGGCGCTGGCCCCTGACTAAAAGGAGCAAAAAGTCTTGTTCACGGTAAAGTTTTTGCTCAAGAACAATCTGAAAAATTATCTCCTAGCTTGACCATTTACATCTATTGCCAAAGTACAGAAACAGTGTGGAAAATGTATTATCAGTGGTCACTATTAGTTTTTATTTTAAGCACAATAGCTTCATGTGTTGTGTAACTGCTTTAATTAGTCCAACTTACCTGTGGGCTGGGTTGTGCCCTGCAGCTGCGTGCTGTCGGTAGCTAATGGTCAAACGGTGCGTGACTGTCAACGCTCAGCTGCACTTATAAAACCCCAGGTATCACCACTAGAGGCGCTACTAACCAACTCTTTACGAAATTCAATTATATTTATATAAACACTTTTCCTCACACACGGCTCCAGATTAAATAAGAGTTGTACCAAATCAGGTGCAAAGACTGCAACACTACAATCCACCTCATGCATTATTGGTCATGGCAAAATTCGACATGTTATTCAAATTTGTATTTCAAATCTAAAACTGGACTTTCGTTTCTTTGCATATAGATTTATTTATTTTTTTAATTGGTTTTGACTGCAGTAACATATTTTTGTAAATACTATAAAATGATTGGGAACTCATTATCATTGACTCAACATTAATTGATATCAGGTGCTGTTATTGATTTATTCTGTGTATGAGAATGAGCTGAAGGTTTCGTGGTTTAAGCCTTTTAATTGTACAAGCCAAACCACGCGCCAGGCAGGGGAGACAGAGAAAATACAAGGATACATAGGCTTTTATGATAATTAATCATCATAATATGGTTTGTAGTATTTTGAATTTTATTATTTGGGGGCTGGAGAGAAATTAGGTGGGTCTCGTTGGGAGAATCTTAATCGTAAAAGCAAACACCTCTATGTGTGGGTTTTATGAATGATTTCACTGTGTGCAGTGTTTGGCTTATCCTGGTTTGGAGTGTGTGAATCCTTTTGAGATCATGTAACTGGTATGAACAGCTGTTTTCTCCCAGGCTCCACTAAAGGTCTCGATTTTAAAGTGTAAGAGTTGGGAATTAAAATTTGTAATTTCAACGTTTTAATTTCAACTTGTTACGTTGTTCTGTTTTCGGGTCTCTGACAGGTCATTTATTGTCGCAAAATAATGACGTCACTTTGGCATATTTAATAGTTATTTCAGGCGTGAAGCCATGAGTCTCCTAACTTCATTCACGTTTAAGTACCACAACCAGCTACTTCTTATAAACACGTGAGATTCAATTCGACCACATTTATGAAAACAAAATAAAATATAGGTTTGTGTGTCGACAAGCAGAGGTAATTAGAGCTGCATCTGCTTATCCACGGACGAGACTTGCGGTTTTGGTCACTGATATGAATAAATTAGTGTTATTAGACAAATTTTCACGCAGTTAAACACTGCACCATGTCTATTATACCACAAGGTGTCGTTATCGTACCACTTACCTCTTTCCAAGTCGAACAACTGAGGTAGAAATGTTTCTTTCAAGTGACAGAACATGATTTGTTGTATTTGTTTAATTAAATATATACAATTTCATAGTTGTATTTGAGAAATGCAAAGAAAAAGTTAATTTTGGTACTGATCTCCTTATGTGGTCACTAAAATATTTACAACTCTGGACCTGCAAAAGTGTGTGTGAATAAAATGAAACAACACATTGAAAAAGTGACCTTACTTCTTTCAGTCATAGAAATGCATCATATGAAACGTGACATTCAATGTGACTTATAACTTTTCAAAAACAGAAATTTTGCAAAGCTTGATTTGCAGAATTTTCCTTAGGGATTAATAAAGTATTCTGATTTTAATTCTGATTACTGTTTTAAAGCTTTTTCAAAGCAGGACATCTGCTGGTTAATTCTCTAAAGTGTGTAGCATGCTTTTTTGTTTACAGCCTTCAGTTTGTTCTGCAGCTTCACATTGAACTTTTCCCTCAGAATTTCTTCTAGCGCATCATCTGTTACATTTCTCATGTCATACACATCAACACCTTCCTCTGGTTTGAAGGTGACCTCACTGTAGGTCCAGCCAACCAGTGCTCTGAATCCTGTGGGTGTCTGCAAAGAGCAGATGGACTTATTGATGAACAGTGAGGTGGGGTCTGACTGGAGGTCATGGTTTACCTGAGAGAAATGATATGGCTCACGAGGCTCCAAGGTGAAGGAGTAAATCACCTGTGTTTGCTTCTTGTCTAACAGACTTGATTTAGCAAATTCTGGATTAGGAACCTCTGGTTTCCTGCCAGTTTTCTCCAGCATCCACATGTCCCCCTTGTCTATGAGGCGAAAGACACCCGCCGCCTGAGACTGCTCCTTTCCAGAGATGAGCTCCAGAGGCTCCCAGAGTTGGAGTGACACCCCAAAACTTACATCTGCTATATAAGCCTTCCCATCAATGATGACCTTGTTAATGAGGTGTGTTTCCTCAGAGTGATATTCACCACCAGTAGGGCTAAAAACTCTGGAGCCCAAGGTTGTAGTGTCATAGCCCATTTGTCTCAGTACCCAGCCAAACAGGGAGTTGTTCTCAAGGCACCAACCTCCACGGCTGCTCCTCACCATCTTGTTAAAGATGACCTCAAGGTCCATGGTAATCTTCTCTCCACAGTGGATGCTGAGGTTCTCAAATGGAATGGACATAACATGCTGCCTGTGGATCAGCTTCAGTGTTGCAAGGTCCAGTTTATCATAGGAGCCATGGAAACCAATTCTTTTGAAGTACTCATCCAAATTCATCTTGCCTGTAAAATGCAGGACAACACATTGATAATCATTTCAGTTCTGCAGCCATCTCATTGACAACGCTTTAAAAAAAAAAAATACATTAAAAAACCCCAACACCTTTCATTTTGTGCTACATCCTGTCAATCTACAGGATGCAGCCAGATGTCCAACTCTAGGTCTAGCCTGGTATGCTCTTCGTTTCCTTACAATCTTAGATCAATCATTCAATTCAAGACACCTAATCTTAATTAACATTTCATGTAAGAGTATCTTGGTGGCACGGTGATTAGCACTGTATCCTCACAGCAAGAAGGTCCTGAGTTCAATTCCACCATCAGGCCACGGCCTTTCTGTGTGGAGTTTGCATGTTCTCCCCGTGTTTGCGTGGGTTCTCCCCAGGTACTCCGGCTTCCTCCCACAGTCCAAAGACATGTACTTTGTGGGGATAGGTTAATTGAAAAATCTAAATTGCCCATAGGTGTGAGTGTGAATGGTTGTCTGTCCCTGTGTGTTAGCCCTGTGACAGACTGGCGACCTGTCCAGGGTGTACCCTGCCTCTCACCCTATGACAGCTGGGATAGGCGCCAGCACCCCCGTGACCCTGAAAAGGATAAGCGGAAGCGAATGGAAAAAAATGGATGGATGTAAGAATATCTCATGAAATTTATAACAATTACATTTAATTCCTGTTTTCTGTTCACATAAAGACAATGGAAATGCAAGATGGTGGAAGCATTAGTGTTTTAACCAAGTGATCCTAGCTTCATTGTTTCAGCTGCTTACCAATACAATTCTTTAAGTTGTAAATGGTAGTAAATGATAAAAATAAATTCTTATTTTTTCATGAAATAATGTGGTTTTTATGGGTACAGCAATTGTTGACTTTAACTTGGCATTTACTGCACAAATTAATACATTTTAACACCTTTCTTTTGGTTAATACTATAAATATCATTCTAATGACAAATGTTGAATACAACTAAATTAATCTGAAATTTTTTATCCTTACCTTATGTAATTGGTGTTTGATCGAGGATGTGTTTTGAGGGTCTGGAAGCAAAAACAGAAAAAGGTAAGTGAGCTACTTATGGTTTTTCTTACTATGCTGCAAATCCATTTCATTTCCCTTAAAGCTTCAAAAGCAAATCCTGCAGCTTCTTTGAATCAAGTCTGATAAAGTGTCACTTGCAGTCATTGCAAATCAGTATATTTAACACTTTTCCTTTCTTTAAGGTAACAGAAAATAACCTGCAACAAGAAATGCGGAGCAAAAATGTTTAACCTTACTTTGTTTGATAGTGTGATCAAAGTTATTTTCTGAGTAATATATCCGTGAAGGCAAAAAAAGAGGGCAGTAACTGATCTCTTCTACCTGGTGAACTTCATGCAATAAAGTGGGTGAGCTTAAACAGCCAAAAGAACCTGGCAGTATATTACTGATTTACTTGATCATAAGTTAATCAGTGATAGAGTTGGTGCAACTCAGCTGCTTCACTGAGAGAAATAGTGAGAAGTCAATGCATACATGGAAATAAGTATTTATAGAATTTTATCCATGCAGTTATTAAAGTTCTTTCAGCAGTACATTTAAATTATAATATATACACATTTGGAAAGAAGAAATAACGCATCCCTCGCCTCAAAAGAGAAAAGTCCAGTACACAGGCAATAAAACACACCCACATTAATACAATAATGTCAATGATTTTGCAGATAATGACCGATATTATTCATATCATGGCAATTTCTATGATATTACAAAACAAAATAGTTTCTCTTGAATGTGATCATATGAAAGAATATATACTCTGGTTCTTTTACAGTAAGTCCTGTTGTTGGTTTTACAAAAGGTTTGTTATTAACAGGAGCTTGGTGGACAGACCATTCATGCAGAAAGTTTGAAATGGGTGAAATGTGAGGTTGATTTTATCTAACAACTGGATGTGTACGAGCAGTACAGCCTGATTAGAACTCACTTAAACTGTAATATTAGAAGCATAATTGTCTATTAAAGAACATGGTCAGTTTCATTGTACACTACTAAAACCAGCAAACTGTGGCAGGATAACTGGTAAGTTTAAAGAAAAACAAAAGTTCTTACTGAGAGGAAGACTGTCAAAAGCATATTTTCTGTTGTTAAAAGAGGATGATTTATTTATGTATTGTCTGTCAAAGGACCCACCCACTGCAGGGATCATAATGTGTTATGATCCCTGCTCCCTTTTGAAGAGAATAATCGGTAATGACAACATCATTTTTGTAAAAGCAAGAAACCTTGACACAGAACATAGAATAAAACAGCAAAGTATGTTTAATGTCATGACACACAAAGAGCCACTGTCCATTCAAGTCTGTTAAAATACAATTTAGGTTATTCTATCTAACACACGTTGATCTAAGAACTGCCTGTGGATGGCCAAGATGAGGATCTGAGTCTCAGTCGTGTAGAGGTAGAGGCGTTGAGGACAAATCATTTGATATACAAACGTCCTTGTATAAACCTATGACACTATAACAACTTCACAAAACAGGACATTTTAATACTGTGAATTACTCAGTTACCATATATAAGCATTATGATCATTTTACAATGGTGAACAGATAAACAGGTAATATAGTTTGAAAAATAGAAATATTCATGGAATCTTCTTTCTTCATTTCAAGATCAAAATGTTGCCTTTGCAAGAATGTTTTAAGATTGAATTTATTAAACTGGAGAGAAGTAGTGTGCATATTTTCTTACTCTTTCTAGCAATATATGATTTTTTTTGTCAGGGTGTCTTCAGATTTGCTCAGTTTTCACCTTTTGCTGTTTTACAAGGTTGAGGATAAATACTATGAAATAAGTTATCTTAGTTTAAGCATTATGATATATGGGATTAATAAATATACAAACATAAAACAAAAAAAAAAAGTGACACAAAAACATTCAAGGTAGCTATAAATATTAAGATCACTACACTCACTATTATATCCAGAAAAATACAAACATGGTATGTTTTCCCTCATACTGTAAATCATTTTATTTAATGCACAGATACCCTATGTACTTTTAAAATTAGGGATAAAACTCAGATATGTTTTAAGCCTAATTTACATATTCTGACAGACTTCCCATAATGCACTGAGCATTTCTCCTCTACTCCCTTCTTCTCACTTCCCACTATAATACAATTCCAAATAAAGCTACTTTCAGCTGCTCCCTTATTTACAAGGAGCTGCCACAGCAGGTGGCTCTACCTTCGATTTGTCATTCCTGGTGGAAACCCAAAGGGAAAAGCAAATGTGTAAACTACTACACTTTAATAACACTAGAAATTAAAATATTTATACTTGCATATATACTTGCATAGCTTTACTGTTGTTAGGTATGCTGCATCTATTTATATTTTCCTGTTTAGTGTTAATCAAATTGAATAATTGGAATTCAAATAGAGTTGTTTTTTTATCGTTCCATCATTCAGTGCACATTATTTAGAGCTTATTTATTTCTGTTTTTATGCAACTACAATTCTGAAGATCTAAATAATTTAATTCATGGAGTTGTCAAATATTTTATTTTGCTGACGAGCTTCAACATAAAATGTTGCTATGTCAGGATTGTTTTCAAAGTGTGTACCAGGATTTGTTGCTCATGAGCTTTAGTTTGTTCTGCAGCTTTATGTTGAACTTTTCCATCAGAATTTCATCTATCTCATCATCTGATATGTCCCTCATGTCTAAGACATCAACACCTTCCTCTGGTTTGAAGGTGACCTCACTGTAGGTCTTTCCAATCAGGGCTCTGAATCCCGTGGGAGTCTGCAAAGAGCAGATGGACTTATTGGTGAACAGTGAGGCGGGGTCGGTCTGCAGCCAGTGACATTTATCTACAAAATGATCTACCCCGCGAGGCTCCAAGGTGAAGCAGTAGATCTGCTTTGTTTGCTTCCTGCTCACCAGACTTGATGTAGCAAATTCTGGATTAGGAACCTCTGGTTTCCTGCCAGTCTTCTCCAGCACCCACATGTCCCCTTTGTCTATGAGGCGAAAAACACCTGCTGCCTGGGGCTGCTCCTTTCCAGAAATAAGCTCCAGAGGCTCTCGCACTTGTGATGACACCCCAAAGCTTACATCTGTTATATAAGCCTTCCCATCAATGATGACCTTGTTAATGAGATGAGAATCAAGCGGGCCAAAGTCATTGAGGAAACTATTGAAAACTCTGGAACTTAGTGTTGTCGTGTTGAAACCCATTTGTCTCAACACCCAGCCAAACAGGGAGTTGTTCTCAAGGCACCAGCCTCCGCGGCTGCTCCTCACAACCTTATTGAAGATGACCTCAAGGTCCATGGTGATCCTCTCGCCACAGTGGATGCTTAGGTTCTCAAATGGGATGGACATAACGTGCTTTCTGTGGATCAGGTTCAGTGTTGCAAGATCCAGTTTATCACAGGAGACATGGAAACCAATTCTTTTGAAGTACTCACGCAAATCCATCCTGTTTGTAAAATGCAGGTTATGACACCTTTTGTAATATTCCTCAGATAAGACACAGGATACTTTACACCGGATCATATTATACTGAATTTAGTGATCAGTCATATCAAGTTAAAAGTTGCACTTATATATGCAAAGTCGACTCCTAAACATGTTGTAAAGTAGTTTATCACGGACTTGTTTTTGTTTGTTTTCAACAATTCGGTGTAACTCAACCTAAACATGCTCATGACGCGTATCTTCCAGTTTTATCACATTTTGCACATTTTGGGTGGTGCGTTTTGTACAGATACGGAACGTGCAGGCCTGCTTAACTTTGGGCAAGTTTTTCAAGTGAGTAAATTATGTAAAACGAGAAAGGCAATTTCGACAAACGTTCATCCGTGTGCCTGTAAAAGTATACCCTACTTTTTTGTCATCACGATCAGATCGACAAATACGCATACTTTAGGAAACATAAAGCCCGTTGGCCGTGCCTCCCACCGGACTGTTTCCTTTAAGAGTTTAGTGCACTCTTTACTTCACTGATCTCTCTTACATAACACAGCCGCTTACCTTTGGACTTTGAAGTAACCTGCAGCTCTGCGTTGTTGTTCTGGGTGGCAACTGAGAGTAAAATATGACGTCGTCGTCAATTTTCAGTTTGTATCACCGCTAGAGGGACTACTAATCAAAGACTTACGTAAATCCTCTTTTTATTTTACCTTTTAAAAGGATTATTCACGTTTTCCCCTCACACAACTACAGATTAAATTAAAATTCTACTAATCCGAGGGGGAAAAGTCTGTACAGTGTATATAGAGCAATATTTCACTCCTTTATTAGTTCTCACTGAAAACTCCACTCTCTGTAAATTGGTGGGTTAAACCTTTTTATTCTTGAAATGATTATATTGTTTTTAATTGTGGCTCAGAGAAAATATTTTTTATGTTTTTAAGGGATTTGACTGCTGTGAAGCCTTCCTGTAAATATTAGGGCCCTCACAGCAGTATGAGTCACTTTACGGCAACTATCATTTTGATTTCAGGCATGAAGCCAGGAGCCACAGCGGAAAGTTTCTAACAGCAACATCCTGAAAGCAGCCATAGCCACCTTCAGACACCATTGACACAGCTTATACACACAGCAAAATTTATATCGTGTTAATAAAAATATTCTGGTTAAAATCGGTGAAAAAAAGTCAATATCGGAAGTCTTCGTAGTCTAAAATACAGCTTTCAAAACAAAAGCATGAGACGTGTATCGTTAGTCCAGATTAAAGTGAGTGCTATGACAGTCTGTAAATCTAAACCATGAAATTCGACAATATCTACGGATCTGTTGTATAATTTTGCGTTTAGCTACCATTAAAACTATTTTACAATTTGTCAATGCTTTGCTACATGAAGATAATTTCGCCGGATTTCCTGTGTCCCCGTGCTTAACGAATCAGCGTCACTGGTGAGGAGGTACACTGGTGGTGCTATCTGTCGCTGTTTTGGAGGTTTCCAGGATTACAGTGGAGTTTTGAATGAGTCATATTGGACACTTATTTGTCTCGTTTTTGTCTGCCTCGTGCTCAGGTTGGTGTGTCCGTTGAATATGTGAGCTTTTAACAGTTTGGCGCACAGGGCATGTGCATAGTTTCAAGCATGCCTCGCACATACCTTTACTCTACTCATGCAAGCAACTACAAGTATGGATTAGTTAGATTTTATTCACTGAATTAAACTTGCAGTCACCTCGGGAAACAAGAATATACACTGACGTAGCAGCATGAAAGATTTAATAGCTCAGGTGGAACGCGTCATTGAATCTGCAAGCTGTGATTGACTTTAGGTAACCGGAAGCTGTTTAATTACGATTTTATTTTAGTTATTAATACTTTTATTCTTTAAATGCATCAGGCTGATTTATGTGTATTTAAAAAAACAAACATTAATAATATTGTTTTCTTAATTTTCCTCACAGATTCATCCACTTGGAATGGGAAATGCTAGCAAAGAGACGTTTTTAATAACTGGTGGATCTGGCTACTTCGGTAATCGGTAAGAACAATTTTGCCTTTTTTGTGTTATTACTACACATTATAAAATATTTAAATGCAGGCAAACGCTGCAGCATGGGGTAAGCACCACAAGGTGGCGTTATCACACCAGTTATCTTATTAAGATAAACTTTCTTGACATGAACTGTGGTAGGATTGAAGGTAGAAATATGTGCATCTATTGTACTTTTGTCCTTGGTTTACTGTGCCTGTTATTTTGTTAAAATGGAGGACTGCTTTTTCCCCCCTGAAGGCTCGCTCTGTCTCTGCATAAAAAAGGAGCCAAAGTCATCCTGTTTGACATCATCCCCCCAAGTCAAGAACTGCCAGAGGATGTTGTGTTTGTGCAGGGTGATATACGTGAATATCCAGACGTGGAGAAGGCTGTCACAGGGGTGGATTGTGTATTCCACATTGCCTCCTATGGCATGTCTGGCAGGGAGCAGCTAAATCGCCAGCTGATTGAGGCAGTGAACGTACAAGGCACACAGAACATCTTGAAGGCCTGTGTAGAACACGGAGTGTCCAGGCTGATTTACACCAGCACCTTCAATGTGGTGTTCGGGGGTCAGGTAATAGAGAACGGAGATGAAAGCCTGCCTTATCTACCTCTCCATCTTCACCCGGACCACTACTCCAGAACCAAGTCCCTGGCTGACATGGCAGTTCTGAAAGCTAATGGCACAGTGCTGAAGGGCCGCTCGGGCCTGCTGAGCACCTGCGCACTGCGTCCGGCAGGTATCTATGGGCCAGGAGAGCAGAGGCATCTGCCCAGGATAGTTGACTATATAGAGAAGGGGATCTTCAGGTTTGTTTACGGTAAACCCAGCAGCCTGGTGGAGTTTGTCCATGTTGACAACCTGGTGTCAGCACATGTGCTAGCTGCTGAGGCTCTGACCCCAGAGAAGCAGCACCGCGCCGCTGGCCAGGCCTACTTCATCTCAGATGGAAGGCCTGTCAACAATTTTGAATTCTTCAGACCTCTCGTAGAAGGCCTAGGCTATCGTTTCCCAACACTGCGCCTTCCTATCTCTTTCATTTACTTTTTTGCCTTCCTCACAGAAATGATTCACTGCCTCATCGGCCCCTTCTATAACTTCCAGCCGCTGCTGACACGTACAGAGGTGTATAAAACTGGCGTGACGCATTACTTCAGCATGGCAAAGGCAAAGGCGGAGCTCGGTTACGAGCCCAGGGAGTACAACCTGGATGAGGTCGTGCAGTGGTTCAGAAGCAGAGGCCACGGGAAGAAATGTCACCGCTCCTTCCTCAGTCGACTGCTGCTCAACGTCCTGTTTGTTTCTGCCTTGGTGGCTGTGTCTCTGTCTTTTCTGCCAGTCGTCGGCAGTTAATGTAAAGTAGTCTTGCCTTTTGACTTTGCCCAAAACATCATCCATACTATGTGAAGACTGATTCATCAAAAGACAGTTTGCATATTTTAATATGTTATCATCCATGTGCACCTTTCCTTTTAAAGTCATTAAAACAAGTCCAGCCATCTAAGGACCAAGTCTATGAGAGCAGTTTAAAGCAGTAACATAAGTTAGTTTAATTTTTACATGCTACCTCTTTTTTAACTTGTAAGGGCAAACATCTATGATTACTGGAGAAATACATTTTTAAATATATTTTTGTGCAAAAATTAATAAAACCTGACCTGTGAAATTTGAATTGTGGGTTTTGATTTTTAAACTCCTCCCTTTATCACCAGGAAGACATGTTTTAATTGGTGCATTTAGAAAATATATCTGTATATTTAAAGAAATGTTAAAGATCTTAGCGACTATTTTCTATTGCAGAGAGTAATAACATGTTTTTTCCAAGGTTAATCGAGATTGCATATTTTCGTAATTCTTAAACTGTTTTGCTATAGTTGAAATCCTCATATCGTGTTTTTATGCAGCTTATTGTAAAATAAATCATTAAAAGCATGATCTAGGCCTACCCTTTATTTATATGTAGAAAACGATATCTGAGAACATCTTTACATCTTTGAAAATTGAGTTTTAAACGCATCTGCCCTCCATTAATACTGAATCACTGCAGCTCATTCCTGGTGTAAAAGGAGTCGGACCAGGTGAGGCGTGCTTTGTGTGGTATTTTAGTCTGCCCGGGATGAATGCAGACGTCCCCTTCTCTCTTAAACTATTCTCTTCAGAGCCGGCAGCCCCTTGCTGAGTTGGTCGCAATCATTGTTTCTCTGCAGCATTAACCACATTCCAGAGAGGCGCAGCGCATCCAGTCTCCTTCCCCGCATTCCTTTCACGCGAACGAGTCCCCTGCATTAAACAGCGTTTTGTTGAGATTTTTGCGCTCTTTGTGCGCTCAGGCTTGCACACAAATGGTGTTTGCAGCATATACGATTATCCGACCTACTTTGATTTCTTGCACAGTGGCCGTAAAGGAAATCTAGAGGAAAAACCAACAAGGGGAAATTCCTCCGCGCAGCGCGCCGTTGACTGTAAAGACCTTTCAACTTAACAAAAACTGAAGTTGACAAACGTATCGCTGTCGGCTGAAACTGTGAGAAAGAGTTTGTGTTTTCGGCGAAGCGGGGGAAGCAGAAGAAGGCGATGCGGCTCTCGGCGGGGTTTGCGGGCATGTAAGTGGTTTTCTGTGAGTGAGGGACGGCTGTACGGCGGCGTTTTGTTTTGATTTCCATGTGAAACGCAATTAGTGCTCCGCGGTGCTCTATAGTTTGGCTCGCGCAGCGGAGCGCACTCTGAACTTGTTTCTCTCCTCGGAAGCACAACATGGAGCATTACCAGGAAGATTTGGGACTCCGGGCCACCAAACTGATGGAGGACCTTTCTTTGTATGATGCGTACCAGGACGGGATGTACGATGCGAGGAGAGACTTGGTGATTAACCCCGATTTAGACTTTTCGGCTCCGGCACTGGTTGAGCATAAAGCCAAGCCGATGAATGGGACCTCTGTGCTTCACCAGCAGCATCACACAGTGGAGAATTTCTCGTCCGGGAATAAAGTGTACAACGCGGCTCCAGTGCGCCCGGTGAATTGCAACCGGACGGTTCCTGTGGATTTTTGCGCCCCTCAGAGGGACGCGGTTTATAACGAGGATGGTTGTTGCACCAAATCCGAAGTAGCTTTGCCTTGTTATACAGGCACTTCCGAGAGACACAGGAGGTACTCTCTGGAGGTGCAGGGCCACAGGTACAGCACCGGCTCCACCTTTGACGGCGTGCCGCTCAATAAACCGGTGGCTGTGCCCGGCAACAGGTGCAACAGTGTCTGCATCGCCAGCAGCCACGACGGGAGATATAACGCCACCAGTCCTCGCTCCAGCCTGGCATCTTCTCTGTCTTCTCAAGAGCAAAGCAAGCATGCCAGCCCGAGGTCGAGCATCAGCAGCCCGCGTACCAGTCTGGTGGTACCGGGTCAGGAGAGGTACACGAGCCCTAGATCTAGTTTGGTTCACTGCGAAGGAAACAGTGTCCTCAGTCCCCGATCCAGCTATGCAAGCACCGCCAGCGACACGAGTAAACACTCAAGTCCCCGGGCCAGCCTCAACAGCTGTGACTGCTGCAGCAAGCCCAACAGCAACCGCACCAGCGGCATCAGCATGGGCTACGACCAGAGGCACACCAGCCCCAGGTCGAGCACTGCGAGCCAATATTCCTTCACTACCAGCCCGAGATCCAGTTACTCTGACTCTCGGTACGGGCCCGTGGTCAACCAAGATCTGGAGGGAGTCTTGCACTCAGCGCCGCTGGCGAGTCCTCGCTCCAGCATCTGCAGCCAGGACGGGAGCGCAAGACCGGGGACAAGCGCAAACTGCGTGGTCAGCCCCCGGTCGAGCATCTCCAGTCACAGCTCCAGAAGTTCCCGCAGCTCCAGGGGGTCTATGAGCACCTATCCGGATCTGCAGCTTCCTTCCCCTAGGTCATCCATGCTGGGAACCAGTTTACACGAAGATACGCTGCTGCAGGAGTTTGGAGACTCCAACGGAGTTCAGAATCGCATCCATCTCCAGGGGCTTTCGGCAGTGCCTGAACCCCAGCAGCAGTCGGGGCAGACGGGAGGGACCGCGGATATACCCTCAGGGTCGCCTTCCTCTTATAGTTATGTGATGCCTTCAAAAACGGCTTCCTCGGGCCAGAGGTTTAAACTACCTTACCAGGTGACCCCCAGTCGAGAGAGTGGACCAAGCCAGGCGGAGAAAAGGCTGGAGGCGCTCACCTTGGAGCTGGAGAAGGAGTTAGAGATGCACATGAAAAAGGAATACTTTGGTAGGTTTGTTTTTGAAACACACAAAAATACTATTAGCGATGGCCGCAAACACAAAATCACTGGGAACATAAGTCTGTGTTGCAGAATCAGTTTATTGCCATTGTTTATTACACACAGAAGTACAAATTTTAAACAAATACGAAACACAGACTATACATCATTTTCCTGCATAAAACACCCGTGTCAGTGTCTCCACAGCTGGGATTTGTTACAAGTTGCACTAAAAATTTGTGCTTGTTAAGGGCACAGTGATGATGCCTGCACATAGGTTTGCAATGATATTTCCTAAAACATTTTATGATTGCAAAATTAATGCCATTTAAATATTTCACTTACTCTTAAATATAGAGTATTAATATTATAAGGCACTGAACACCAAGGCACTAAACTTGCATGGCATAGCATAACTACAATGTGACCTAATACTATATGTTTTCCCAGTTTGCAATCCTTCCTGTATCACTATTATATTTTGGTGGTGAATGGGCATAAGGGTTTGACTCTGTGGCTTTCACAAAACCCTTTTCTAGTTTTTTGCACATATTAAGCAATAAAGGTCTTGCATTAACTTATAGGCAATCAAGATAATTTTTTCATTTAACATTTGATTGAGATTCTGCCTTGTTTCATGAACTTTTCCTGTCTAATGGTTGTAAAATGTGGTCACAGCAGCTCATACAAACAGCCCAATTTTGACCAAGGGCAAGGCATGATAACAATGCCAAATATGTTGTGGTATTACTACCACGAAATCTCACTATCTGTGTTAAAAGGGCAGACATCTGCCCACTGAATCTACAATTCAAGGCAACTATTAAAAGAGTATTTTTCTGTGCGGGCAGGTTTATTTATAGGTTTGCCATCTCTTCAAGGTCTGTTTGCAACCTGCTAAAGCTATATCACCACTAACAGCTCCCTCTCTGGCAGATAAGAGTGGGTTTTGCAGGGCAATACTAATTTCTGTCTTGGCAGAGCTAACATTTGCAGAGCGCGGCACGTTGCTGAATGGAACCTTCTGTTCTGCCAGGTCATTCAGAGCAGTGTGGTCCGAGTTTGTTAGAGATTGCGGTCACTGTGAGCGTTGCGATTTAAAGAAAGGCCCTCCCCTTGCCGTTTAGACTCCTTAAGATGCCCTATGTTGAAAATTGAACACGTGGTGGTTACTTTATGCTGCAAAATCTTGACACTAAAACAGTTTGGTTGACCAGCAGCAACACAGCCACAGAAAGCCAGCTGAGGAAGTTTCTGTCTACCTTTTGAATTAATAGCCAGACAAATGGCTGCAGACGAAGAGCAGTAGTTTGTTTTATAGCTGGTGCACTTGCTCAGAGTGAGTCTGAGACAGCTGTTGATTTGTTCCAGAGAAACAGGTTAAAGAAGGAGGATGGAAGACAGGAGGGTGAAACGAGGAAGACAGCAGTGAGGGGAGCAAGAGAGATAAAGAAACAAGAGGGTGGAAATAGATAGAGATGGGGAAAGAAAGGAAAGGGAGGGAGAGAGAAGAATGCAGTCAGACGCTCCTCACATCGGGTCCAATAGAGACAGCTCTGTTTCCGTAGCGACAGTGGAGAAATTGATCGCTGGGCCTTCTTTTCGGGGGGCCCAGCACTGCTTGCCAGTGTCCCACTCTGCCCACTTTGCACTGCCGGCTGGCTCTTGTGTGGCCTCTGTTTGTTATAGTGGCAGAGGAGCTGTGAATCAACAGCTGGCCCGATACAAGCTTGCAATTGAAGCAGCAAAGTGAGTGAGGCCCACCCCACCCTTTTGCTTTGCTGTCCCTCCCTCTCTACCACCACCACCTTAAACCACTGCCTCCCCACCCTGCCTCCCCCGCGAAGCCCTTCATTAACCAGCCAGTGGGGAGTTGGGCAACACCAGACACTTGGCACACGATCTTGGCTGGCGGGCCAGACATAGTTGGTGGGGGTCAAGTCTGATCACCTGCCTAGAATTATAATGGCAGTAGTCATGCCCATGCCTGACACACACATGCTGACTTGTGGACAACAGCACACTGTGTGTATGCTGTACTGGACCCTACGCCTGTACTGGGAATGCACACTGCAGCTGATGAGATTAGAGGTATAGATTTTTTTAAAAGTCTCACTTTAAGTTTTAAGCCTAGATTGTCCGCTGAAGTGTGAAAAGCTACAGGAGCATTCACAGTTCACCAGGGCAGTCGCTCTTGAGGAGTTTAACATGTCCCCCTCCACACATGGTGGGAAGTTAACTGTGTTATTCATTCCCAGTGTGCACCAGACTACATGTGCTTGTTTACAGTGCTGTGAATCACAGCTTTCTCTTCATCCCCTCTCCTGCATCTGTCTTTTGTTATATTGTCTTTTTTTTTAGAGTAGGTGTAAATCAGGATTTGCTATAATGCCCAGGACTGTAAACCTACTCTATGTGCAGTAATGGAATCTCTCCATTGCAGACGTGCAGAGATTTTAAAGCATCGGAAGTGATGCAACGGGCGACACAAACTAAAAAATCCCTCTGCTTGTGCTACAGGTTTGAGCCTCCATTTGTTTGACTGAAAATCTTCATGTAACCGACTCATATCTACAGAGATTGGTTTGATATTGTGCCTTAAGAAGTCCAACTGACTTCACACTGAGCAGTGGTTAAAGTTTCATGAATCAGGCTGTGCAGGCCTTCTTACAACTCACAGCACGTCCGCTGTTGTCTTTAGTGATGGTAGAGAGGTGAAGGACCAGAGTGTTTATAAAATACTCTCTAATTTACCATTTTAATGTCTTTTAATTATATTAGATCAGAATGGTTGGAGAGATTTTCTTCTATGTGATCTTCCACACTAGAGTTTAGTGTTTTTTCTTTTTCAGAATAAGTTGTAATTCAAATGCACTCACTTATTTCACTGTCAGTCTAATCATTGCACTGTGTGCTTACTACACCACTGCCATCCACAGTTCTTGTAGTGTATATAAAAGATGGATGTAGCTGAAATTGAAGCCAGCACAGAAGCGCCTTAAATCGACCAGCAGGGGGCGACTCCTGTGATCTATGGGAAGTCTTTATGAAAATTGCTCTTTCGCTTACTTCCTCACTAGTTTATGGCCTCAGTTTGTAGTTTCACTTCTTATTGGATACAAAACATATTCATTTTGCAAAATGTGGTCTTTTTTATAGGCAAAAAGGATGATGAAACATAGCATAGTTTACACTATTTTTGACAAATCACTAGCTGATGAGATATGGGCCTATGTGTCCCCTGCCCCTTACTTATCACGCCTGGTTTCAAAACATCAAGATGGTGATGACAAATGTTCAGTTTGAGGCTTCACATTCGACCTTCATGAACCAGTGGGTGACATAATGGTATCTACGGCCATCTTTATTTACAGCTTATTCTAAAATCAAACATTACTGCTTAGTTTTACTGCATCCTGCGAGTGCCAAATGGATATGTTGTGAAATGGGCACATGAGATGTTCAGCTCCCTGTTTTAAATGACTAATAAAGAGCACTTCAGAGATTTTCCCAGCTGCTCTGTAAAGGAATAACCACATCCTCACTCATGAGACCCTTTCGCATTTTTCGCGTGTTCACCAAAACACATTTATGGTTGACATTTACATGTCAGTGTATGAAATCTTGACAGTGCTACTCACACATAGTAACTGCAGTATAGTTGCAGCTAGCGGGATTAAAGCAATAGAGGTAAATCAACGTAGCTGCATGAATAAATCATAGGTTTTCAGTTTAGCCGTTGGGTAGAGAGTTGAAGCCAAAAAGTCATGTTAGTAATTTCTCAGCTATAGATCACTTCTGTGGGAAACCAATAAAAATAACAACGAAGGAAGGAGCCGGAGGGTTATTTAAAAAACAAACAAACAGCCTAAAACCACTTATGAATCACATTTTCTTGTTATCAAGAAGCTGGATAATGTGTGTAAAAATAGGCACACGTGGTGATGTGAGAATTGGAAGTGGAGGGTATACACGAGTCTTTTAATCCGTCAAAAAATTGTGTTGTTTCACTAAACTTACACACAACCACCACCACATTTTGAGGAGTACAATGCAGAGAAGCAGCGATTTAGGTTATCGATGTTCAGGCAGATTCACAGTAAGTCACGCAGTGCAGAAATCAATGCACAGGCACCATGTACATCACGCTGTAATATGAGCTGAGTCACAAAAAAGTCAGTAGAAAGGAGAATGTTGAGACTTTCTTACACTCACCTACACATTTCATGCTGATGCATGTAGTCTTAGTATAACAGGAAGTTGGCTTCACTCATACAGTAACATTCCTATCTGTGAAGTATTACTGCATCAAAAGACGCTTGTCCAAGTTATTCATAGTTGTCATTCCAAATAATTGGAAAAGGAAGTTCGCTGCTCTGATGCAGAGCAGAAAGGAAACAGAACTTGGTATGAACATTGGAGTATGATGCTAACAGACTGTGGTTTATCTCTTTTAAGTACCCTGGACCCACCCAGACCTTATCAGTTATTAAACAGTGACCTGGTGCCTTTTTAGCAGGTCGAATTAAAACAATGCAGCATTACTATGCTTCATTTCTTTTGAATCACACTTGTTGGAGATGTAGGTGAGATTTTTTTAGTAACGGCAGTAGTTACTGACTCATTGGTTAAAGGCTTCCTCTTGTAATTACAGTTTTCATTCGATGGATGTAAAACTTTACTGGAGTTTTCAGATCTCACTCTGGCCTGGTGATGGTTGTAAGTGAGATTTTTTCCAAGAAGTGTTTCTTGATTTTAGAGCCTTGATGTGGAGCAGTTACTGAATGAACTGGGGATATTTATCGAAGTAGGAGGATTGCTAAGGCTAATGTGGGCTCAGACAGCGTAATACGGACTCCAATCACTGGAGTCAAACACAGCTTCACGGGTCCTTTATAACACCTGAAAAGCGGAGCATGTTATACATACAGTATATTTTTTTACCTTCTCTCTCATGTTACAACATAGATTGGGTAAATGGTGTTGAGCAACAGAAGCATGGAGTTCTTTCTTTTTTTTGCACAAGGGTCAGATACACACTATAGGATTGACAGACCATAACGTCACATACCCAGTTTTTGTGCAACCAATGAATCATGTCAATCTTATTTTTCTTTCTTTGTTTTTTAGCCTTTACTGAACACAAAACCGCTAATATCACATACACAGTTTCAGACGTCACTGCCTGTTCACATTCTTGTTCTGGTACACTCAAAGAAAAATGCCTTATTGTATCTGTTGGCTTGTGTGTGTCACCATTTAACGTACTGCCCTTAACCCTTGAGAAGGGCGAATTTATTTGTACGCTTGTCTCTTGTGACAGGTTTGTACATGGATGTAATCATACAAAAATTAACTTTTAAAAAAAGGTTCAAACTTGGACACTAAATTCATTATATATGCCTGGATATGGACTGTCATTTGTATCGGCTTTTTCAGCGATAAAGACCACTTAATATCACCAAAACCTGATTTATGTTTGTACCTGAGCAAACACACACTGCCTCTTAATGTTACACCTTTAAATCTTTAAAGTACAAAGTTAATTTGAGGACCCTGTAATTAACCATTGGAGGTACATTAGTATAGAATGAACCCGCAGGGACAAAAATGTACTTCTTCTCTGTCCCTGAGAGTTTAGTTTCCCTAACAACTATTTATTCCCAGCTGTAATTGCTTGAGGAACGTCTGACGTGTGGCCTGTTCAAGTCATGACAGGATCTTTTTTTAATCATCGGTTTGTTACCAAAGAAATAGTATAATCAAGTCAGAACCTGGCATAACTGACTCAGTTAACTCCACAAAGAGTTGTGTAGAAGTGTAGGATTTAATGCAGTATGTGAATATAAGAGGGACGATTTTAGATTCTAACAGGTAGAAAGCAGCAAAGCAATTACATTACAGACTTTCGCATTGGCAAAATTGTCTGATCAGCTTGGATATTTTAAAGTTCACTCATTCATTCTTATCCCGCTATTCTTCCTGTTTTCTTAGCAACGAGTGCAGTCAGTCCAGGTTACATCAGCTTTTGATTCCAAATAATTAATATGCAGAAACACCTCAGATAACAAGTAAAGACATTTAAGCTGTGGGTGTTTTTGTTCTTTGTGCTCATCCTTTACCAGTTTTCAGTGTCACCGAGTGCTCCAGAGCTGTTATGAAAGTGAAATAACCCTCTCAGAAAGCCAGGAAATTCCACAAGTGCATCACTGAAAGTGTATACATGGTCTGATTTCAGAGATAATGAACCAAATTAAATTAGGGGTGTTGTTGTGGTGCAGCTCCCCTGTTGGGATCTCTTGAGAGCTTGTGTCCTCTAGCCACAGTGACCCTGGACTCACCTCACCCAGACTTTGACCCTGCACTCGCTCAGGAATGTGGCCTAAGTGGAGGTTGTCCTGTGTGAGAGTTTGGAGGTTGTTAGTCTGCTGCTGATGTCTACTAATAATTTTAAGCCACTGTTTTTTTTCCCCCTCCAATTGTGTTTCTTCACTAAAGGTCACAGCACTTTGTGTTGATGGTTAGTTCAGGCTTAAGTGAAGTGGCATTTGAGTCCATCACTTCCCCTCAAGGGCAAAAGCAGCATTGTAATCTGACGGATTGTTCTTGGACTTTAGGGACGGATCGAAATGAGTTATTTCCACAAACCGTCACATGGTTATTGCAGGATTCATCTGTGCTTTTACACTCACTGACCTCTCTGTTAGTATAACTGTTGAATTGCTTGTTGATGCAAATATCTGATCACATGGTAAGAATTTGATGCATTTAGGCATGGTCAAGATGACCTGCTGAAGTTCAAACCAAGCATCAGAAAAAAGGTGATTTAAGCGGCTTTGAACATGGGATGGTTGTTGGTGCGAGTGGTTCAAAAACTGGTGGTCTTACTGGGATTTTTTAGTATAACCATCTCTAGGGTTTACAGATCTGAAAAAGAGAAAATATCCAGTAAGCGATTGTTCTCTGAGTGAGAAATGCCTTGTGATGATAGGGATCTGAAGCTTATTGCCCCACTGCTCTGAGCTGATAGGAAGGTTAACAATAACTCAAATAACCACTTGTTACCTTTGAAGCATGTGGAAGACAGCAGCATAGGATCACATCAGATGCTACTCACAATTTACACTGGCTTACCAAAATTAGACATTAGACTACTGGAAAAGTTGTTGCCTGGTCTGATGAGCCTCAGTTTCTGCTGCAACATTCAGATGGTATGAAATAACATGAAAGTATGGATCCATCCTGCCTTATATCATGATGGGTCCATGGTCTCATGTGGTGGTGTAATGGTGTCTGCAATATTTTGTTGCCACACTTAATGTCAACCAAACATCATTTAAATACCACAGCTTACCTGAGTATTGAAGCTGACCATGTCCATCTCTCTCTGACCACAATGTACCAGTCTTGTGATGATTGCATACAGCAGGATAACGTGCCCTGTCGCAAAGCTCAAACTGACATGTTTCTTTGCACATGATAGTGAGTTCACTGTACTCACCTGGCCTCCACTATCCCATGCAAAATTCAGGCACTTTTTTAAGTAAAAAGGAGTCCAGCCCGGTACTAGCAATGCGTACCTAATAAAGTGGGCAGGAAGTGTATGTAGAAAGGAAAAGATGGGAGCTGCTCATAAAAAATTAGTAAAATCATAGAACATCAAATGTTACTATAACAAGGACTCCACTCCAGCGGATATATTCACGCAAGTAATGTCAATAACATTAAAGTAGTCAAAAATGTCTTTTAATTTTGAGTATATTTTACCATTCTTTGAATTATTTAATATCCATGTGCATGAATGTAGGTTTATAGCTGCTTATCATGTCATCTTCGTTTACTGGGTTAAACTTTATAGGTGACCACTGCGAGTTTGGCTTCATGATCCGAGCAGTAATAAAATGCTGGTTATGGTAATAGCTAATATACTATAATGAAGGAGGAAACAGCACCACTATGAGTTGTAAAGTCTTTGCATGTGTCAGTTTGGTTACAAAATATTTATGATAACCAATTAAGTAAAAACAACATTGGCCCGTTTGAATACAGCTTTTCACAGCAGGACAGTAGAAGAGGATTTTTCTCTCCGCCCTGTCCTTTCTAACAATCCCCTCACTTTTACTGCATTTCCTGTCAGTGCATTTTAATGTAATCATCAGCTTTCCTGATCTAGTCGGCTTCAAACAGTATGATGTAATGCATGGAAATGACAGGAGTCAAATGTGCACAACTAAAGTAGAAATCGCTTCATGAAATATGACTTTAGAATTAATATTCAAACACTAAAATTTGCTCTCTGTCTCTAAAACCTGAACATCTGTAATAATCTCTTTAATGTTTTAATGCTCCGAATTTCATTGTGATATTGGTCTTCAAAGGCGATCAAAAGCTGCCGAGGGAACTGTGTGATATTCTTAGCAGATTTATAATTTTGCAGTGTTATTCATTTGCATAATTAAATAAATGTGCAAACACATTGACAGGTTTCCTGCTGTGTAACAAGAAATGTGACAGGATCAAGTCCAGTAATTGTTCCTTATGTCAGAGTCACACACAGAACAACACAGACTGTGTCTTCACTGGACCATACAGACCTTTTCAGCATCAGTGCAGTCTCTGTCCTCACAGAATCGCAGATTTGTTCTACTTTTCCATTAAACTGTTGTCCTCATCATCATGTAATTGACTCACTGTCTCTAACAGGTATTTGTGTCAAATGTGGGAAGGGTGTGTATGGAGCCAGCCAAGCGTGCCAGGCCATGGGGAACCTCTATCACACAAACTGCTTCACCTGCTGCTCTTGTGGTAAGTAAGGCAGTTATTTTATGGGTGTCTATTATGCTTTTTACTTATTTTCTGTCATACATAAACTGTTACAATGGTGGATGCTCATATTCAACATAGCAACAGTTTCAAATAATGAGTTTATTACCCTAGAAGCCCCTAGAAGCCAAAAGTGCTGGGTATAAGCACTCTGTTTCAGATAGCGCTACTTTTTGCAGTGTGAATGTGGTTATTGAGGCACCTAGAGAAATGTGAAAAACTCTAAAGAGCAGATGGTGATATTTTACATGACCTTTCCTAAAAAAAAGTCCTAGAAATATCCGTATTATGTGTCAGTGTCAAAAACATGTTGCCATCTTCATGAGAATTCTCTGCAGAGGTGACACCCAAGACATCTTATTTCAGCTTGTTGAATTTCAGTCATGCACTAGGGCTTCTGTCTGAAGCATTTTTCTACAAAGTCTTGATATGCGGGGTATGTGTGAAAAAATGTTACACTCATGGTTTATGTAACACATATGTGGAAAAAAACATTTCCAGATCAGCAACGTAGATTTATAGATGTTTCGTGAGCTATACGTTGGATTTCCCGTCCCTAGACACTATAAAACTAGTGTAAAAGGTCAAATTCAGTGAGTAAATCTAATCAGCATCTTCACCTAAATATGTAGAATGCTACCTGTTTTCTTACCTTTTATCCTGTTATCTAGGTCAGCGGTCTCCAACCTTTTTTGCGCCACGGTCCGGTTTATGCCCGACAATATTTTCACGGACCGGCCTTTAATGTGTCGCGGATAAATACAACAAAAAAAACTAGTAACGGTGCTGAAAAAAAGAAGATTTATTCATAACACACGTGAAAAAACCCAGGAAAACCGAGTTAACGATCAAAACGATAACAAAATAACGCTGAAAACCAATAAAAACCCTGAAAACCATACATTTCACACCTGAGCCTCAACTCTCAGGGCCCAGTACCAAACGACTCGGGGGTTGGGGACCGCTGATCTAGGTGAAAGAGTCATAAGTCATGGTTACATCCTGGTAATGCTAATATTTGACTTTGATTCCAAAGAATTTATATGCATAAATATCTCTGTTAAAATTTCTCCTAAATAAAAAACAATCTCCAAGTTTTATTGGTCACTCTGAGCATCTGCAAATATTGTAGCAAGATGAAAAAGGTTAATATTAATTTTGTCTGTCTTATTGCTAATCAAGAAAACAATAAAAGTAGCTAGTCTGATGTGCCTGTATGTTAGTTTGATGTGTCTCTACTCTAAATATGAAGACTGTGAGGCTGTTTCTAGAATAGGGCTGTCAAACATAAGGCCCTGGGGCCAGAATTGGGCCCAACTGACTCAAATCTGGCCCGCAGGATGGATTTGGAAAATGTGAAGAAGAACAGAAATTTTGGACTTTTAACTGTACTTTCATGTTTTACAGTTTTTCCTGACATAAAAATCTCCCCCCATGGCCATTCATTCCTCACCAAAGTAATTCATTTATTTCTGTAATTTTACACTATGCTAATTAGCCATGCAGACTGAGTTACAACAAATAGCTTGTTGCTTTCAGATGCAGCTGGATGCAGCTGTCAGTCTCATATCGCACACTGTTTTAACTCCCTAAATCAGCTCGTGTAAACTTGCCCACAGCCTTCAGTGGAGACAGTTTTAAAGTATTTGGTCTGCGTGGATGATGATATTATGAGAAGTGAATCACAAAGCGATTCTGCATTAACCTGATAGCAGAGTGATTTTTTTCCTTTCTGCTTAGGAAAATGGTGACCTATTACTTAGTCTCACAAATCTATAATGCATGTGTTGTTTTTCCAGTTGAGGTAAATAGCTGTCATTAACCCCTTTTAATGCACGCCTTTCTATTTAATTTTACACTACCTGAAATCCATCTGTACTGAACTCAGTGTCCAAATGTATGCAGATGACACAGTCATTTATGTGCATACTAGCTCTAAAGAGTAAACTGCATGAAGCAATGGAAAAAACATTAATTGCATAACTTATTTCATACAGAATCTGTCCAAAACCATAAGCATGTTTTTTTCTATTAGAAGAAGCAACTCCCCTCCTCCCGAAATTGTTGCAAAAAGGGCAGAAGGTACATGATGTTCGGTATTGTAAATGTCGATTCATAATTATTTTTACCCCCGCAGAAATACATTACAAAAATATCTTTTAAAATAAGCGCATCCTTGCTCATTTTGAGACATATATATAATTTAAGAATTCAAATTGGTTCACAGCTCTCACCCACCCACTCTCCCCAACATAAACACGGTCATTTAGAGTGAGTAAAGATTGAAAAGCTGAGCAAAAATCAGGTAAAAACATTAACATAAAAGTGGCAAAAACATTGTATCTATAAAGGGCCATTGAGCACTGTGTTATATTAATTACTTGAGACACCTGGGTCTGTGTTTGTATTTTGGTTTGCCCAGCTTTTGTGCTCCCTGGAGAACTGATCATTTCAGGAGTGTGATGTCTCAAATGTGCTAATTCTTACAGGCAGCACCAGCCGTGCTGTAAGCTTCTGCCGCTGCTGTCTCTGCCTAAAAAAATCATCATTAGTATCACCAGCTTGCTGTTAGATCTGGTGTTACAGTCTGGATCAAAACATCTGCTTCTTAAAATAATCCCCTAGGCTGGTGTCCGCTCTGTAGAATAAAAGGGCAGCAGCTCTCTGCAGCGGGAACAGGCTAATAATGAAACAAAGAAATAAAATGCTGACATTATTTAGTTTGTAAGGCTGTAATTAAATCTGTTCTCGAGCTCCAAGGACAGTATAGATTGTGTGTGCGTGTGTGTGTGTGTCTTCTGGACGCCCCTGACACTCGACTCCAGCCCTCTTCTCCCGTTTCCTGGGGAAACAAGAGGAAGATCTTGGGAGAAAGCTTTTTAGGCAGGTTCCATTCATATGTGTAACTATACATGGATACCGATCCTCCACCTCGCCCCCTCCGGCTCTGGAAGAGCTTCCTACAATTTAGATGTAACCAAAGCCACATACTTTCCTATTTATTGTGTGCTGGAAGAAAGAGGGGCCAGAAGCTGAGTGTCCAGTTGCAGAAGTTTGGGTGTTTAATGTGGAAAAGTGGCTTCTGGCTTGGTTAAGAGCTGTTTTAACAGCCTTGATAACTTTTTTTGTGGGTTCATTTAGGAGTCAGTGTTCATTGCCAAAACAAAGGAAGACACTGGTTGTTCTCGACATTTGGTCTTTCAAACAGACTTATTTGTAAGACAACCAGATAATTTCCTCTGAGGGCTAAAAATACCCTGAAAACATGCCTGGAGTACTTGTGGGGAGCAGGGTAGCTACATAATAAAGCAGTTATGTGGAGCGTAATTGCTTTTAGACAAAAAACAGCTCCCTGGAGAATTATTGTTGCGTTTATTGGAGAAATCATGTCCACGATTAGTTAACAAGTTGTCTTTTGTGCTTCATGGACCATCTCTCCTCTAAAGATGGTTTATTGGTAACATAAACTCTGATGTTTCATTTGACCTCATGTGAATGGGAATGTTTTCTTTTAAGCAGTGTTTTGAAGACCTCTGAGAAGTTTAGTTTCAAAGTGCCTGGTCTTGTCATAACACAATCCAGTGATTTATCGGGAATTTCGTGCTTATGTCCCCTGTTTGTTTTTCGGGTTCTTTTTCTTCTTTCTGGACTCTGAAGCTCCAGAGTGAGGTTGAGTTTGCTGAGACATTGCTCACTGGTAGCCTTGGGCTTTGTTTAACCATGCATAATTGAGCCCTCCTCTTGGCTTACTCCCATGGTTGCACCCTTTTTTCATGAAATGGCCAAGAATGCAAACCCCACCGCCGCCACCACCACTTCAGCCAACCTTCCCTGGAGGACCTCAGTCAGACAGTCACAAAGTGTACCAGACCTGCTTATCAGAGGGGGCAGGCCTGGCATTGGCACACGTACGCCAAAGTGGATGCAAATACATGTCCACAGGAGGACATCTTGGGTCTAATCAGTTTGAACTTTGACTTTTTAATATGAAATATCTTATTTTTCTTCCTCTAGTGTCCATCATGCTAAGTAGTAAAGTCAGTCAGTCTATGCCACAAGTTTCTGATGGCTAAAATATAACACACATATAATGTTATCACACTTGGTCTGTAAGTCAAATCAACTCAAGTAAAATCAGAAAAATTGTAAAACCTAAGGTTATGGTCTACATCAGCACAGTAAAACTGACAAAAGCGTTTAACCATTGTCTTTAAGTAAACTTTAAACATGAGGTCTTGTTCTATTTCTTACTTACTGAGTCTAATATTTAAAATTAGAAAATGCAAAACAGAAAAACCTGTAATCTTTTGTATTATCATTGCTCTTGCTATTTTTATATATTATTAGCTACCAGTTGTATATAAAAAGGCATTAACAAGTGTTATTTTAGCAATAATAAGCATCTGCCGAGGTATCTATGGTTATAAATAGTGCCACTGAGCAGTGAATTTATTCATATCTGCAGCTTTAATTGTTGGTCAGAGCATTAAACATTACCCTGAACTGACTGGATGAGTAATTGTTATGCTGTTGGACCTAGCAATGCTAACCTTAGCCACAGTTTGCAGGAAAAAAAAAAGTCACATTGTGTCCTTGCAAAATGGCACAAACATTTAAAATTCAAATTTTATTGAAAGATTTGTTTCTAATGACTGCTAAATGCAAATCTAATTATTATACAGTAAACTCTGTTTTTTGAGAGCTTTATTTTTCTTTCTAATTTTAGTTTACGATATTTATTTTCCCATTTATATTTGGCATGGAAAACAGGTGTCAAAACATCCCTAATGGACATATTTCTCAACGTAAACACAGGTTAATCGGGCTGAATGTAAAATTTCAGGATGGGCGCGAGACAGGGTGTCGATGAAAAGAAAAGAAGTAAACACTGCACTTCAGACTGGATGAGCAGACTGTCAACCGCAAAACGCCCGATGACTCATTTGTGTGCTACACTGAACCAAAAGGCAGCAGCTCAGGGG